AATTATGTGAATCCAGTCTTATTTTCTTCTTCTTACTCATAGTTCTAAGGCATTTACTGCCAATAAAAAATCAGAAAAGTTTTAATTTATTGAAAACTAATATTTCCCTAATAATTATGCTAAAAATAAATATGTCTAATCTTTTTTGTAGATAATTTAACAATGAAATCATAATTGAAAATCGCACGAGAAATTTCACCTGATAAACTGTTGATTATTCATTTAATTAGGGTGGAATATAAATAGTTTTAGAAATTCCAACCAAAAAAGAAGATTGTTTTTCGTTTATGCAGACTTTTGCATAGTATGCAGCCAAATTTTATGGCTAGATATGATTTCAGACAACAAAAATGCTTAGTTTCTAAAGTTTACAACGAGCGTATCATAGTTAAATGAATCAATTTGTTTTCTACTGATTCTTATAAGGTGATTATATTTTCAAATGCCTCATTTAAATACAATTACAACTACCTGAATAAAAATAGGCTTAAATGTTTAGGTTATTCCATGCCATCTGTTCCACTGAAATCACGATGTAGGTCACTGAAAAATCTATTTTATATCAGACAGCGAACTTTTCTATTTGATGCCAACTCTTAGTTCTCAAGTTCAAATCTCGTTCCACTGAATTCAGTTTGTGTAGACAGACAGTATCACTGGGCCGCACATGACGTGTGACTTAAAACTGAGTGCACCAATCTGTGTACGTGATACGTTGTATCCTCAACTTTAGTTTATCAAAAGTCGTATAAAGACAAACTAGAACTTCATTTGTTTCCAATCGATACAATAATTTGTTCAGTATTCATGTATCGGTTGGAAAAGTTATAAGTTAAACTAAAAAAAGGATAGAAATACCAATTCAAACAAAAGTTTACCATTCTATACATTTTAACTTAATGGCCAAATGATGATCTTTACACTATGCGATAAATTTCTGAATTTAATCGTGCAGGAAAGTTTGAGTAGACAATGTTAAACCAAAACCATATCGCAAACTGATTAAAATTTGGAACGAGAACTATTTTCCAGCAAAAGGTCAGGTTATCTAGCTTTAGTGATCACATGTTGGTTGTTTCTTGAATTGATATCCTCAACTATAAATTTCCGCAAAACCATTTGCTGCAATTTGACTGGCTGATATATCTTTTCTTTGCTAACTTTGTGGTGTACTTCAAAGTTACTACGTTTTAATACAAAGAAACAGTGTTCTAACAGTGGAATAAAGGTCCTGGGTTTGATCCTCAGTAAGGTTTTCAATGTGCACTAATGAAGAGTTTCATTCTAAGACAGGATAACTGTGTTCAAGGCTTCCTAGTTTCTATTGGTACTCTAACTTAGATCAGTTCATAGTTCAGACTAATAAAAAATTGATTATTTAACAAAAAAATATAGTTGATTGTCAGTAGTCTCAGTCTTTTATCATTTGTATGTTTAATGACTTGGTGTTGTGTAACACTAGTTTACCGGTTATTGTAAGATCCATTTTTGAAGGCTCTGTTTGTGAAAATCCCTCCATGAAAACATTTGTAATTTGTACTTATTGATTCCTTCGATTGTACATTTTGTTAGTCTGTTCAATTACATTTTGTGATGATAATATTTGTATTTTATTATAGTTTCTATTTCTTTGGCCTTCACTGAGTTTCTATGTTTATTTCTGAACTGCACTTATGTTGTTTAAGCTGATACTTAGCCATGGCGACAGCCATATTGATTTGTGCCTCCTTCGATTGGGTTGCTTGCTTGGACTGAAACTGTGCATTTTGATTGTGAATTAAAGCACTGTTCCAGAATAAGAAACACTCTGCGTTATTAAGCAACCAAATATTATCTTTCGAACGAATCTGATCTATCCAGGAGAGATAGAATAACATTTATTTGTTTCTGTTAATTTGATTAATTGAACAATTATTGAAGGAACAATTGAGTGGTAATATTTGTTTAGGTAATGATGTATATTTATATTTTTGATGAATACTAGGAACGTCATTTACCAAATCACCTTGTTTCGGTTTCAGCCGTGCAATCGCGCTGATCTAAACTACCTGGACCGCGTTATTTCTCAATCCAAACCTCAGTTTAGATTCTGCAGTTATTTCATTTTAATTCTCTTCATTGATCAACATTTTCCAATTGCTAAATCAACTGGTTTTATCATAATAAAATATTTTTTATTATTTTATTTATATTTTATAAATAAATATCTTGTGATGATTACATTCTTCATTCGATAGAAATGAATAAAAAAGTAAGTTTTACTATTTCGCAATAATAATTTTGGGAAAAAATTTATATACCTGCTGCAAACTCCGTTATAATTTAATTAGTTAAGAGGTTAGGGTGTGTTTATTATTATTATTTTTTTTCCCTATTCAATTTTCATGATCATTTAGTTCATATCATTGTTCTATTAGTTAGTAATATTTAATCCCATGGTAATGGGATTATGACTTTATTTGTGTGCATTGAATGTCTTGATGACATGTTTGCATGACAGTTTACGATTAGGTATATATATATACATATATATATATATATATATATATATATATATATATATATATATATATATATATATATATATATATATATATATATATATATATATATATGTTGAGTGGATAAATATAATCGATTCTTGTTAGTATTTCTTTAACTTTTCTTTCAGTCATCTATTAATTTCTCTTATTGAAACATTCTCTTGATGTAGAACACTTTCTCTATGTAGAGAATTTCATTTAGCCAAATCATTTCAAACAGCTTTTACAGTTTTAATAAACCAATTAAGCCATCGGTTCAATAGCATGAATTAGATCAAGGATATTTAATCTTAGAATCTATCTTCATAATCTATACCTTAAATTTACTTTCCACAACAGAAATTAAGTGCATTCTTGATTGAATATGAGGAATTTGCTGCAATTAATATAATCCTTGCCATAGTCATTGGATTAAAACTGTGTAGTTAGTCTTCAGAACACAAAATCTATCGAGTTTGTATTGATTTACATGTTAGCGTTGATTTTAAACAAGTTGGTTTTCTACAGGATGGGGTTTCTAACCCCATAACAAACCTTCCTCCTTTATCTGGGCTTGGGAACCTGTTATGCTCGTAAACTGATACGCTTGAAACTATTACGAGTTCACCCTAGTCGATAAACGAGAATGAGACAATGACTCAGTGACACGACAGGCTACTCCAATCCGTTACCCCGTCTAACTAAAACAGAAGTTTTGATATGGCGTAGAGATTGTATTCTACAAGCACTCAGAAAATATAATGATCTCAAGCGCACAAATCGCGTTCATTTATCCATGATATAAATGTCCTTTCGACAGACACAACAATAGCGTACTAAAATAACACACCAACCAATCACAGTCAAGGATTTTGGGGTGGGAAATGTGATCTCATAGTCAACTGATTAGACCATTATCAAGTGAGTTCTGGGGAGTTAACATCTCCAACAGAACCCTAAAAGAGCTCCAAGCAGATAAGCAAAGAATTTTTTTCAAATTTACCTTTTTTTTAATTACTTTGTTTAAGTGATTAGTTTGAATACGAGCTCTAAAACTAGTTTAGTAATTTAAGAAAAGTGTTTTATATTATTTGAGTAGTTAGTTTGTGACTTGATAGCATCCATATAAATATTGGAAACCAGAAGATACTCAAGAATTCAACAATACACAGACACAAGAAAATTATAGGGAAGTGAATCCAGAAATCATAGTTTTAGGAATAATTATGGTGAAGTGACATCATGCACACAAAATTCGGTGATCCATATTCCCAGTGATTGCTGGTTTTTCTAAATTGCTATATTCGTCACTAGGTACGCTTTAAGTTATTCCGAGTTCACCTTAGTCGATAAACGCAAACGAGACAATTACCAGTGTCCAGATAGGCTACCTTGAATCCCAAGCTGAAGATAAAAGGCTTTGTAAGCGTAGAGAGTATATTCTACAAACACCCAGCAATCACAATACGATCAAGCACACACAACTCTCGTTTATTTATACATCACAGAAACGTCATTGGGTCAGACACAAAATTAGCACACTGAAATACACAGCAGCCAATCACAGCCATGGATTTTCCTGGTGGAAAATGAGATCTCAAGGTCAACTGATCAGCCCATGCTCGCAAACGTGAAATCCAAAATAAGGCATTTATCAAGCGAGTTCTGGGTATCTAACATCCCCAAAATAAATAATCTCCAAATGATTTTGGTTTATGAAGAAAAATCAAATTAACCTGTTTTTCATGCCAACTGTATAAATAATAACTATATGCCGACGAATAACTAATAATGATGTAGTTTTTCAAGATTCAATAGTTCATAATATAACTGACTATCTTGTTTGACTTCATAAATTACAGCATTTCGAAACTTTTTTTAAGTTCCTTACCAGTAAACATAGGACTATTATTCACATGACTGATTTGCAAAGATGGTATAAAATTCATCATTTCTATAGCACTATACTACTGAGGTAATATTTGATATGTGTATCAAATTCATTTGAAGAAAAGAACATTCAGATTGGTTAATTCAATTCAAAACTTAAAACTAAGATAAACCCTCTTATTGGTTGATGAATGAACTGAGTCTTATTCGTTACGAGTAATTTTCTTACAAACTCTATTGTCGGAGATTTTACACTCAAGGTTTTTGTTAGTCGAAAGAAAAGTTGATCCATCTAAAATTTGGAATTGTAATTACATAACATTCATGTTACTAGTATTGTTGACAGAAATAAACTACAAAAATTCCATTTAACTGTTTTATTGTTGATTGTTCAACTTTCAATAAATTTTACTACTATACACAATTCGAAAACAGTTTGTTTCAATCAACCAAAATGCATTAATTGTATACAATGAAGACAGGATTAATAAAATCGTATAAAACTTATATTTTATGGATTCTGTTAATAATATTCAGTAAATTTACTCATTTATCATTGATTGGATGTAATGCATTTCAAAGTCATTTAATTTATTGGGATCCAGATAATATTATGTAAGTGTATCCGGTAGATTCATTGACCTTGTTAATAAGTGATTCGATGTTTTCTTTTTTAAAAATTATAGTTCATTGTGTTTTTAGAAAATAAGTTTGTAAACAGAAGAAGTTTAAATATTGTCACATGGAATGAATGCATTTTGAGATTGTGGAGAAAATTTGTAGCTCAGGTAAGGATGATTGTGGTGGTGTTTCGTTCTCTGTGAGCTGGATGTTTTGGTTGTGTCGCTTTCAGTGTTCTTCTACTGAACAACATCATCAGCACAAACTTCAGATAGAAGTGAATTATTCTAATTTCTCCACGTTTGACCCGTTCTGTTAACCCCGATCTTGATTGGTTGCTGTTGACCTTGGATCAGTCGTAGTCTGAACCTTCGTTTTGATTGTATCCCCCTTTTGATCTGTTACTTGATCTTAACAGACTATTATTCTGTTAGAAACTTTAGTCATGTACAATAAAGTACAAATACTCTCTACAGTTATCCAATTGTTATTGGCTAAGAAGTGGAAACACTAAAAAAGTGTTTGTTACGTGATCTATCCCAAATGACATAAACAAAGTGTCCATGGTTGGTAGGAAAAAATAATAAAAGTGATAACAATTTTTAAAATAATTACAGTCGTGTTATAAAGATATTGACTGTACTAATACTAGTGAACTGTGAATGTACAATGGAAAATACTATGACTGAGATGATTGAGCAGTGATGGTGAGGGTTGTAAGGATCGTATTAATCATAATAATAGTAACAACAATACTGGTACAATATACATATAAATATGAGTAAACAACGAATGTGCTATTATAATTAGGCGAAATGTATCAGGCAGGGTTAGGGTTATACGCAAAGATCCATTGGCCAGACACTATCAGCAACAACCTACTATGGGAGAGAACAAACCAGATTCCAGCTGAGCAAGAAATCAGGAAGAAGCGCTGGAAGTGGATAGAACACACATTCAGGAAAGCAATCAACTATGTCACAAGATTAGCCTTCACTTGGGATCCTCAGAGTCAAAGTAGAACATGAAGACCAAAGAACACATTATTCCAAGAATTGGATGTAGTCATGAAAAGAATGAATGGATAAAAAATGGATAAAACTGTAAATGAAGGCTCAGAATAGAGTCGAGTTATAATCCTATTAACTCTAGTAATACTAATGAACTGTGATTATTCAAATACATTATAAAAATATCAGGAAATTCCTATGACTTAGCTGATTGAGCAGTGATGCTAAGAGTTTGTAAGGCTCGTAATAATCAAATTAATCATAACAACAATAATGGTACAATATACCCGTTAATATGAGTAAACAGCGAATCTGCTACTATAATTAGACGAAATATATCAGACAGGCTTAAGGTTTGAGTAAAATAACAAATGCACTGACCACAATTAAAAAGAAACATAAGATAATCACTATACCAAGAAGCATGTTCACCACACATTTTCTGAAAGTAGTAATTTGATTTGAGAAAAAAAATACTGTTAATTCTGTTCAATGTAATACTAGAATGTTTGTAATCATGTTTGAAACATAAGCAGTGTTTGTAGCATACCTCTGTCGTTTCTAATCATAAGGAGTTTAAAATTACTAGCTGTCGAATGCATCAATACATGTTCAGATATTCTATCAAATACAATGTTTTCCGTCAATACAAATATATTTAAATCGAAAGTATATAAAAGAAACTTTTCATCTTAATTATACACACTGAAAACATTAATGAAACATAAATATGTAATCGACCAAAGTTTGATTCGTCTTCAGTGAACAACTGCTATGTTTTATTAAAAATTTTGAGTGACAATGAATGTTGGAACAGTATTTCACCGAGGCTATGCTTGTATAGTACATAGTAGAGAATTTCGATGATAGAGGTTTGATTGAAATACTCATCAGTTTTTCTAGTACAATTTAAGTTTCTAAAGAAGATTAATATTATCGCATCATGGGATTGTGGAGAGCGTCTCGTTACTTTATGAAATTGTGAATCGATCAATGCGTATGAGGTTGTGCAAGACCGTGAATTGATCGAAGTTAGACAATAGCACCTTTAGATAACGGCTCAGTGGTCTAGAGGTTAAGAGTTCGCGCGCAAGAACGAGTGTCTTGGTTTCAAATCCTGCTAGGTGCAGGAGTCGTGGATGCGCACTACTGATTTCGTCCATACCAGGACGAAACAGCCGTCCAGTGCTTACAGGTTTCTAATGGTGGTCTAACCTTGATCGATTCATGATTTCATAAATTAATAGTATTATCATCATTGCCTGTAGACTAACCATTATTTTTATGGAAATGAAAAGTTTAGGTAGAAAAACCATTTTTACAGATCACTTTGAATCAGTTTTACTATTTAGTCAATTCATGTTGATTGTTGTTTCTGAGCTCAAGTTTTAAATGATTTTAGCAAATGCCTAGAGTTATTCTAACTTAAATTTAACCATTGAAAATTAAGAAATGATTTTTATAACAGAGTTTAGTTCTCTAAGCTAGATGGTTTGGTTATGAAGCTTTCATTGTTCTTCTGAACAACATTATCAACACTCAGATCAATTGGCAATCAACAAACAAATCGACATTGATCCAATTTATCAAGCGATCAGACAAACTAGGATCAAGAAACAGATCAAAGGGGTATACAATCAAATGAAGGGTGCAGACAACGACAACCATCAAGGTCGGGATAAACAGAACACGCCACAAGTCATACATGGAGAAACGGGAGTATTTCTTTTCTATCTGAAGTTTGTGCTGATGTTGTTCAGTAGAAGAACAATGAAAGTCTCACTACCAAAGCCTCTCGCACCAACTCCACACACAATCATCGTCTCCTGAGCTACACATTTTCTCCATCATCTCAAGAATAATTTTTGTCCAACTAAACTAATCTTAATCTGATAATTACCCAAGCATCTAATCAATTATAACTTGCTTGCTTTCAAAAATCAGGTTATTTTTAAAACTTAAACAACTAGGATTAATCTTCATTTTAGACAAAAATATCGTCAAATTTTCTACTTTTTATAATTATTGTATAAATCCTCTTTGACAATGTAACTTATCATAAAGATATTTATAAAATTTGTCATATTACCTGTACTATAAAATTCCTTTCACTTCATAAACAGAGAACTTTTCAAAACCACATGATATCTAGTCTAAATTATTTATTTCATAGTTTATACTTTGATTATTGAATCTATTTGTATGATAAAATCAACTAGTTTACGTTTTACCTGTTAAGAAAGAAGGAAAAAAGGCTGTATTCCCTTAGACAGACAGTGTGAACTTATCCAAATCAAAGAAAATACCGATTATTGAAGAACACTGTTTTTTTTTTAACGTCATAAATCAGTCAACAATGTTGTCTATAATTAAACAATTCTTTTATTGAATATAGTTTACTTCGGAATTTATTGTGCTATTTTTTGTTGCAACTGTTAGAATCATGAATCAATCATTGTCAGATAACCATCAAGAACCTGGAAGCACTGAATAACCGTTTCATCCTACAATGGGAATCATCAGTACTGCACATCCATGACTCCCGCTACTCGCAGGAGTTGAATCCAGGACCCTAGGTCTTGCACAAGAACGCTTAACCTCCGGGAAACTGGGCCGCTGTCCGATGATGTTAATGTCTAACTCTGATCAATTAAGGGATTTTGCGCAACATCATCTATTGTCTTCAGTACTTATTGCCTACACCCGACAGGTGTGAGCTCCACTGGTTACGTCTTCTGACTAGAACTCCAAGAATTTCCAAATGAAGCTAGTCACTAGTGAGCACAATGTCCAGTGCTTCCAAGTTTCTAATGGTGGTCTAACAATGATTGATTCATGATTTCATTAATGTTAGAATCTTCTTTTTTGAAATGAAGGTAATAGAATGTAGGTTATCAAACAAAATGATTTAAACCACTATTTCAACGCATAATATGTTATCCATATATTAAATTGGTAAGATTTTAATGATTGTGTTCTTGATATTCATCAGGACAGCATGCTTGAGAGTTTTCGTTGACATATTTGTATGGCTTTTGAATTATGTTAAAGTAACCACTGTGCTGTACGTCATGTAGAATAGTTGGATAGTAGCTAGTGGTGGAATCCAGGAAATGCGTTCCATCATATTCTAGAATCATCTGTTGGATGTGCTTAGGTTTGGGTTTTTTTCTTTTCACATAGTACTAGGTTTGATCGTTAATGTGAACATTAATAGCGGGATGCAGGTACCTCCAGCTGCTGAGTTATGAACACTGAATTTCATCGGTAGCCACCATCCATCTATTATACACAGATGTTTTAAGAACTGGTAACTCAGTATTTTACTGTACCCGTCGATGAGTAGTACAGTCAATCAGTATTAACAGATTATACTAAACGTTGGAAAGAAGGAAGTTCTATACGCTGTTTCGTTACAGCTTCCTCAACGATGACACCATCACAAACAGAACATAGGAGTTTCAGGACATTTATCAAGTATTGCACTTTCAAACCACTGAAAAGTTTCTCGACCTAAATTCTTCCAAAATACTTTATAGCTCAAGCAAAAACCAGTGCCTTCAGTGATATTTACATCATTGCCTTTATTGTTGAAAACAAACCAAACACTGATTCTCAGTAGAAATGTAAGGATTATTTTCGAAGCCAGTTATTAGTAGACATGTGACTATTTTCACTGTAAATCAATTTTAAGGTTATGGAGTACATACAAGTTACTTTTTAACCACAATGTTTGAAAAAACTCCGAAGAGTAAACTACTGTATCTCAACTGAGTGACTAAATTATATTTTTCCAATTAGAGTTATGGAGATTGGTGTTTTTACACAGTGACTAATGGACTTCAACCCTGTCGAGTGTAGGCAGTCATTACCGAAGACAAATGGGAGGGGTGGTGCAAAATCTATAGATTGATCTGAGTTAGACATTAATACTGTTGGATACCGGTCCAGTGTTCCAGAGGTTAGGCGTTCACGCTCAAGATC